GTGGCAGAACAACTAGGCTAAATGTGTTGACATGGGCAAATTATTGTGTGGACCATGATCAATATAATGTTGTGTAAATTATATCAAAAAGTACATTATTTGTGTACTGAATGTACATTATTTGTGTACTGAATGTACATTATACAAAATAGTGTACTTTCAGTACTTAAATAATATATTTTTCTTGAATACAATGTACATTTTTAATATATTAAAAGTACATTATTTATGTACTGAATGTACATTATCTAATAGCATGGTCCACATAGCTATAATAAATCATGATCCACACAATAATGATTGGTTGACTTGGAGCCCGCATGGCAGCTCAGTTGGTCATAGGAGTAAAGTTTGGGAAGAATGATCGGGGATCGAGTCTCACCAACGACAGTGTGGGAACAACCTCTCAAAGTAAGGGGGGCTCATTGTGTGCAGTAAGCAAAGGTCTAGCCTATGTGGTCCCTTGGAGTTGAGGATTCAACCTTTTGGGAAGAATAATTGGTTGACTTGGAGAGTATTATCATCATGAGAATTATTGTGTGGACCATGGTCCACATAATACTGTGTGGAACAAAATAAAGTTACATTTTTTATGTACTAAAAATATATTATTCATGTAGTGAATATATATTATACAAAATAATGTACTTTTAGTACTCAAATAATCTACTTTTCCGGTATATAATTTTAATATACTTACATATTATTTATGTATTAAATGTATATTATTTGATAGTCTGATCCACACAGCTTTGTGGATGATCTATAGAATAATGATTGGGGCCATCTTAACTTGGGCTGCTTATGGGGAAATTTTAAATTAGATGGGCTACTTTGGGCTAATGTGAACTGCCCATCTAAAGGAAAAAATAAAATAAATTGGAAATGGTCTGGTTACTGCGAGTATTTAATTTAAGTTTACAGGAATTTTAATTCATACTTAGTGAGTTAGTGACTTAGTGAGATGTAAATCTGCATGGATTATGATCTATCTGTGAATCATGATTCAAAATAATATTCAAATTATATATCTATAATTAATGTATTATACATATTTAGTTAATAAATTATATGCATACTAAAATTAACATATTATGTACATTTAATTTATGTATAGATAGATAATCTGTTAATTGAATACATCAATTGGTATACGGTGGAACATGATATGCCATTATTTTTTAAATAAAAAGAAACGAAAACGATGACCGTTACTAATCATGTATTTATGATGTGCTCAGAATAAAATGAAACTGAATAATATGTCTCACATATTGAGTGCATATTGTCAAATGAAACTATAGTTGAATTAGAATGATACTATTGTTGATTTGCTTAAATCCATGGCAAAATATTATGTGGACTTGGGTCCAAAATTACACAATTTATATACTGAATGTTCACAATTTTTATATACTAAATGTTCACAATTTACATACTCGATATTCACAATTTACATATTGATGTCCATAATTTTATATACTAAATGTTTACAATTTGAATTATGAACATTTAGTATGTAAATTGCGTATTTTGACCCGGATCCACCTTGCAAGGTGGACTCGGGTCAATGGCATAACTGTCCTTGGATAGATGAGTCGTTATGCTGTGCACCGTGTGCACCATGCATGGTGCACACGGATGCAAAAACAACGTCGTTTTGACGTCGACTTAAAAAAAATTCAGAATTGCATAACTACACATCGATAATTTCATAACTATACATCCAGAATTGCATAACTATAAATCCAAAATTGCATAACTACACATCCATATAACTTCATAATTATAAATCCAGAATTGCATAACTTCATAACTATACATTCAGAATTGCATAACTACACATCCATAATTTCATAATTATAAATTCAGAATTGCATAACTATACATCCATAATTTCATAACTATAAATTCAAAAATTATGCACAACATAATGTTGTTGACGAGAATCGAATCTGTTTTTTTTTTTTTTTTTTTTTTTTGTAAGTTGGACGCTCGTTTTAATTGGTTCATTGCAATAATATTTAAGGCCCATTTCTAAATGCAAAAGACCATATGTAGTAGGCAAAATTAATAGCTGTTATATGTTAGATAGTTTGTTTGGAAATATGTAAAACATTTTTTGAAAAATAATTTAGTGTTTAGTTGAATATTAAAAAATTATTTTTTGTTGTTTGGTTGAAAGTTAAGATTTTTTTTTTTTTTTGTTTGAATGAAAATCAACATATTATTTGTTATATAATAATAACAACAACAATAATAATAAGTGGTGGTGGTTGTTGTGGTTGTGTAGTGGTAATATAATAATTTGAAAACTAGTTTGAAAAGATGTGAGAAATAAGAAAAATAAAGAATGTGGAAAGTGTATTTCGATTAAAATTTAAATATATATGAAACCATTTTTCATCAATTTTTTTTTTTCATTGACCATAATGAATATTTTCATTTAAATTTTTTTTCTTGAATACCTAGACAAGAAAAAAATCTGAAAAATGTCTTAATATTTCCAAATTTCAAAGGAACCCTTAATATTATTTTTAAATTTTTTTATGGAAAATACTTAATTAGATAAGCGAAGGAAAAAAAAAATGAGAGTCTAGATATGCAAATGAATTAAGAAAAAAAAGAGTAACTACCTTTTACCTCTCCGCAGTCTCCGAACTCGCAAGTCACCACACACCACATAAGATGTGAAGTTATATACTTACTCTATCCCATCGCCATATACTATGCTCCAAAATAATGTTATTTCAAAGTAATATAATTAATGGTCATTTGCATTCTTCATGGCACACTACAATCATGCATAATGCACGTATAGTGTAATGTTAATGTATACTAAATTTTGTTTCTTTTATGAACATACAGATCGATCAGAAGAAATAATATGAACTTACTACAAAGTTAATTAAAAAATATATATGTTATAAAACCATTGTTTAGTGCTTATGTTCATTAAGATTTAAATTTATTATCATATATAGAACAAATAATATAAACATAATATATTATAAATGTTGTTAAATATGATACATAAGTAGTGTAATACTGTAATGTTTAAGTATATTAAGTTTTATTTTTATGAATATACATGTAATTTAGTGTTTATGTAAATTAACATTTAAGTTTATGAAAATGCAGAATAAATATTATGAACATAATACAATATAATATTATTAAACATTATGCACTGGTGTATGTCGTTAGTGACTTAATGTAAAATGATACAATTTTGGAGTAGGGTTCATAATACAAAGTGAATATAATCCTTGTTCACGATATAATTTACGACTCTATTCACGGTAGATGACGTACTAGATGTAAATTCCAATTCATGACCTTCAAAACAAAATTACATTAAAAAAAAAAATCATAAAAACCTTTTTTTTTTTATAATTAAAAATCTAAAATTTTTAGAAATGAGAATTATGTTCCACCAACTTTATCAGATCACTCTTATTTTGAGGTGATTCAGATCGTTTTAATAGGTTATTATATGTTAGATATCTTTAAATAAGATTATATGTTTTTTTTTTGCGTCCCGGGCTCCGCCCTAGCTTCCTTTTGTTCCAAAACAAGATTTGATGAATTTTAATGTAAATGGAATGCTCGAAAAAAGTATTGTATTAGCTAGATTATCATTTTTAAATTACTTTGGTGGTACTAATTCATATGAAAAAGTCTGAACTCCTCGAGCTCGTCTTCTTTGTATTTGACAATAACCTAATAACCAAGCTTGCAGCTATGTTGACATGGTTTCTTGGATCATGTATTCATGTTCACCTAAGTCAGTTTATATTGAATTGCTGACTGCCAAAGTTGCACTGTGAATTCTATTACAAAAATTATGTAACTTCTGTTAACATATTCTATACCTAAGTTAATTGTTTTACACATAATATATAATATATATGATTGTTACATGTACAAAAACTATCACGACAGGTACATAATGTATCAACTACAGATACAAAATCTGACTTAATAATCCCTGACACATAGTATGATAAGTACATGTACAAAAACTATCAACTGCAGATACAAAATGTGTCATAGATGAGAATTTGAAGATTACTTTTGGACCAAAGTCTACAATATAAAGCAAAATAGACCCTAGTCCATGATATAATTTGTCCAAATTTGGATAACCAATCTCTATTGTTGAGCTTCATAAGTTTACGTTTTAAAAACAAATCGTTATAATAAAATGCTAAATAAGTTGAATTATATTGTGGTTAACTATATATCGACATCCCGCTAAAAATTACACAAAAATATTTCATCAATTAGTTCACATTTAATTCACTTATTTAATTTGTAGACCTTATCCAATCAAATTACCCATACCCATCAACTCAGAAAACACTTTATGAAATTCATTTCCAAAATAACATGTGAATTTAAGCCAAATTTTTTTGAGACATTTTATAAAACCAGATTATAAATAGAAGTTCAATTGATCATCATGCATGCACTCTACCATACTCACAAGTGGAAAAAAAAACAAATTGTCTTATGGATCTTTATTCATGAAACGAGTGAAGTTTTTGCATAAGTATTATACTTTCTCTGATAATATTATAATTTTTTTCATAAGTAACTTTTAAACCCCTAATATTACATTGTAATTTAAAACTTAATATTACATTTTTATCAAAAGTATCACTTTTTACCTAAATATTACACAAATAATAATTAATCAATTTATCTCTAATTAATATAATATTTTTTATGTGTAACTTTTCAACTCCTTAATATTACATTTTCTTTTATTAAGTAACAAATAATTTATTCATAATTAATATTATATTTTTGAAAAATATATATATATTTTTTTATCTTGACCAGTCCTAGTTCATGGTCTTACGTTAGACTCACCTGCAGGTGAAGTACTCACATGTGGCACCGTCCCAAATTTGGTCGGTGTTGATACAGCAAACACACGCGTATTATGGGCAATTGATAAGATAATGTTTTTTGGGTGAAATCATCAGTATTTATAATTTAATTTATTGGTCCAGGTGTGGGGGTAATTACAAAGAAAGTCGGGTCCCCTTTCAAGATTCTCTTCCACTTTCTATTTGGAAACTGCTTTTCTCGGCTGTCAAATTCCCCTATCTCCACCCCCCTTTGTTAAACCTTTCCCTTTCCACCTTGGGAATGGTCTTTGTTTAACCGGTTTGTACCTTTGATCCTCAACTCCAAACTCTGGGTTGTAGTGTTGTACTATAGATTTCTCGTAAGTGAGTAAGTCTTCTTCTGCTTGCCATTAACTTCACTTGTTTCCGTTTCTTTTCTTAAATACAAGTTCAATTGGTTTTAAAGTTGTGTTTTTGATAGCATTTTGTTTTAATATGTGGGTATAAGAAATATGGTTGCCTAATTTGCTTTGGAAATTGAGTTTAAGGTGTAATTCTTGGAAATTGCGGTCTGGAAGTTTTAATGTTTGCATTTGCGTGATCGAATTCTCTTAAAAGTTGTCTTTTTGGTTTATGGAAATTGACTTGAATGGTGGGTGGGATTTGGGAGGGAGCTGGTTTTGGATGTAATTCTTCAAAATTGCAACCTTTTTTTTTTGCTTACGTTTCTTCAATTATTCAAAATCCTCTTGAACTTATAATCTTTGTTTATTCACACATTTTTAATTATAATATCCTGAGTTCCCAACTTCAAGTCCAGGATGATTTATCAATCAAGTATTGAAATTTATGTAACATGATGGTTATGGATATCTGGACCCAAATATGTGGGGTTAATTGCATTTGAAAATTGAAATTAGTCTCTATTGTTTCTTATACACCACTAATATAGCATAATTTGCTCTGAAATTGCCATACATGTAATAAAGCATCTCCCGTTTTCAGGATAGTAGAATTGTGTATCATAAGTTAATGGGATAATCTTTTATTTAAGAGATTTCGCTTCTCTTTTTATTGGTAAAATGGCTGAGGCATTATGAATGCTGAACCTGATATATATGTGTTTGATACTGAGAGAAATTATGTTTGCATTCCAAGTTTTATAAGAGATTTATCAAGTGATTCTTGGAAAAGCTTATTTCCCTCTGAATACTATCAGGTGGGTGTTAACACCATAAAGAAACACTAATTCTGAGAGTATATTTCCTGCATTGCGTTGTGGTTTGTGGCTGATATCAGCAAGCGTTGGTGGTCCATGCTGATGACATCATGCAGCTCTATCATCATCCGTATTCGTTGGACAGCCTGAAGGTTAGACTTGCATTGGAAGAGAAAGGGATCGACTACACATCACATCATGTCAATCCCATCACTGGGAAGAACTTGGACACCTTTTTCTTCCGCATCAATCCAAGTGCTAAACTACCTGTTTTCCAGAATGGTTCCCACATCATATATGATACTATCGAGATAATTCAGTATGTCTTCCCTTCTTCTCTTGCTTGTCTAAATAAATACAAGTTTCTGAAATAATACATTGGACTGACCCTTGAATTGGTTTATTTATGCACTTACACACAAGTTTCTACTTTCTAGGCTGCTGATAGATAGCTACAAGTGACATGAGTGAATTGGTTTTAATGAACTTGTAATGTATTTATACATTCACAGATATATAGAAAGGATTGCGGAGAAAGTGTCTTCTGGTGGCTTTGACTTAAATGTTAGCAACCAACAAGTTGTGGAATGGATGCATAAGATTCAAGAGTGGGACCCCAAGTATTTTACCCTCTACCACGTGCCTGTGAAGTATCGCCTCTATGTGTCTAAATTCTTAAGACGTGTAATAATTGCTCGAATGGCTGAATGTCCTGACCTCGCAAGTTCTTATCACCGTAAGCTAAGAGAGGCATATGAAACAGAAGAAAAATTGGGGAATGCACAAGTAGTGAGACAGAGCGAAGAACATCTTGTAAAGCTTCTGGACGAGGTAGAAGGTAAACTAAGCGAAGCATCTTATCTAACCGGGGAGGAGTTCAGTTTGGCAGATGTGATGCTCATCCCTATTCTAGCTCGGTTACAAGTGTTAAACTTGGAGCTTGAGTTCATCAATACAAGACCTAATCTATTTGATTACTGGGCTTTGGTGAAACAGAGGCCAAGTTATAAGAAGGTGATTGGAAGATACTTTGATGGGTGGAAAAGGCAGAAAACACTACTCAAGACATGGTGCTTTGTCCAAGCCAGAAGCATGCTGCGACGATACTGAGGAAAAGCTGTAGCACTAAGGTCTAAGGATGAGATAAAACGACTATAAGCTCATTCTCATCACTGCCCAAAAAGCTTCAGGAAAAAAAAAAGATAGACAAATAGATGGTAAGGTTTTGGTGTTGTGGTATTTCCCAGATCAGTTTGTATAATTGTTTATATGTATGATATTCTATGTAATTGTCATAATAAAGATGATTTGAACAAGCCAAATTCTTCTCATATGAACTAATTTTGAATCCCAATAAGTGTAAGAATGAGGAACGTTTACATCCTCGAGGTATTTACGAAGATAACCATTTATGAGAAGAATAGTGTACCCTCTTCAAATTGAATTGAGTGTATATTATATATATATATATATATATATATATATATATATATATATATATAAGCAGTTCTCTTGTGACAAAAAATTACCAGAGTACAAAGGAGCACTAGATAAAAATTCAGAGGCTCCTCAGAAATCCGGTAGAAAAATGAAGCTAACTTTGTTCAGCTATGTGTAGGTGCCCTACCATTTCTCATTAGGAGCCAAGGTGGCCCTAGTTTTGGACCATTCCAGTTTTGTAGGATTAATCTTATCACAGGGATACGGAGGCAATGGAGTTTGAGTATCATCTCTCCTGTCACGGGGATAAGTAGGCAATGGGGGAAAAGGACGGAAGGGTATGCCTGGAGCAATAGCCCAGCTCTCTGAGCTTCGATTTAGAGGTACCCCAAACTGCTGTACTATGTTGAACGGAATTCCATATGAGACTGGCAACCGTGAGATGAATCTCCGCTGGCATTGTCCAATAACTCGTTGCTTTCCAGTACAATGTTCTTGGGTATTATTAATGAGGGGTGAAAACCCAGGAGGGGCACCATCATCTCTGTCCTGCAGACCATTGTCATCAATTTCTGGCACTTCATCCCAACGACTTTTACGTTTCCGGGTCTTCTTTGTCCCATTAGCTATACCAAGACCAGAAGATCCATCAGACATTCTAACATCTTGAGTAATGCAACCTGTTTCTGAAGGCCTTTTACAGCAATCAACCAAATGATTCTGTAAACTCAAAGACCTATCACAGCGTGAACCCGTGTGAAACTCCACCCTTTCATCATCCCTCTCCATGCAGCTATTTTTTCTGGGTGGCTTAGGTACCCACCTATCTCTAAAGTTTCTTGCAATTTGATGAACCTGGGCAAAACAAAAAGAATCATCTACCACTAATCTTCCCTAAAGATTAGGACATAACAATTATAAATCTTTTCCTCAAAACAAGGGTAAATTGGGAAAGTATTTTGCAGTCTATTAAGAAAACAAAATGGTGCTGCCAAAACCGTGCCACCATTTTCCCAAGATGCATACCTGTTTGTCTATGTGCTCTGTCAATGCCAAAATCGAGTCTCTAAAGCTGCAGAATATAAAAAGCACAGTTGTGGTATTGTAGTTAGCATCTGAAATTAATACTATGAACAAATAAAGAGAGTTAACAGTATAGTAGTATACCCTGTGTTCGTGGAGAATTTGAAAGGATGGGTAGTGTTAGGAATGGAAGAAAAAGAGAGGAAGAACATGCAGAAGTTAACAGAGAATAAAAAGGAGAGAGATATAGCAACAGATAAAAGAGGATTCCATACAAGTATATGTCATAATATTTGACTAGAGTATTCACCATCAAAACTTTTAAGTGACCGTAAAATAACCAATTAATGCAGATTAGGAATACAAGCATTAGAATAGAAATGTGAAGACAATTAAAAACTGGAAACTGGAATTGTTCAAACCAACCTCTCCACTCCAGGTCGAGAAGGAACTCCATTAATGTGGTCAATTGTAAGGATCTCTCTCAATGCCAGATATTCCAGTACCTGAACATCAGAACAACCAAAGTTATGTTGCTTAAGTTTGGTCTATTGATGATGGACACAAGCAACCTGCTTTCTATATTTCTTTGGTGTTGTAGCTTAAAAAGTTTATCAAGGACTTGAAGATGATCAGTGAAATAGTTAAGCAGCAACTAATGTAAAATTATCAACCCTAAATGAGTTTTATCAGATCAACTTTACTTTGAAATTGGACCCTGCATTTGGATCAAAGCCAAGATATATCAAGAAAAATATATCAGAGAATTACTCTGAAAAGAAGGATAATGTTTTCATCTATTATAAGATCAAACATCAGCATTTTATTACCTTGCCATGATAGAAATTGAAAACAAATGGAAGGGAAATTGAAATTTACGCATACATGTATTAGTCTGCCAACCAAAGATGCCCTGTTGGGGTTTTAGTAAATAAGTGAAGTGAGAATATTTGAGTCTAAACCTAGATTTTGTCACCTAATAGCTAGTGATGACAAATTTTAATCCATTAGTTGGACTAGAGAACTGATTAGAGCGTACCATACAAAAACCTAATGCCTTCCGGCTATATTACCTTAAGTAGCTTTCGAAGAATTGGTGTTTTATTGAATTCCCTTCTATATCGCTTCATTATGTTGTGCAACATCTGCAAACCTAGCAAGAACCCAGCAAAAACAATGTTGCACTTATCAAACACCATATACATTATTTGACTGGAAAAATAAGGGTAAACGGATGCAATACAGCCCATCACTTCCTACCATTCTTATTGATAATATCAACCAAAACTGCCCTTGATTTTGTCTTCAAGAGTGCACCAAGGATCATAGAGAGCTCTCGGTTGCTGCAAAAGATACATAATCAAATGACAATGACATTATCCATTCATGTAAGGAAGTGACCTACAGACTCAAGCATGATTATTTTACCCAAAGAGCAAATTAACATTTTTTCTTACCTCTGAATTGCTTCACTATTGCCACTATCCCCTGACGCAGCAGTCAAAAGTAGGAGCTTTAAGTAGGACCTTGATGCATCCTGTTTCAAATAAGATGGTGACCCTCAGAATGGAAAGCAAAAATCGATATTCGTCAGAGTACAAAGATAAGTTGCAATTCTGCTCTGACAGTATACGAAACTACTTACTTTGCTTTTGCTTATGCCACCATTTTGGTCTAGCAACTCATTGAGTTTTTCTTCCACTGCATACCAAGTTACAAAGTATCAATGCACCTATGAGCATCCAAGCTTACCTCAACAATGAAATATACAACAAAGAAAAAAGACAAACATCTACCTGCTTCAAATCGATCATTTAAGGAGCCCTCTGCTAGCTTCTTGGATTTATCTTGGAGCATGTTTGACTTGTCCATCTCTGCCGGAGCTTTGATGTTCACAACGCTGCTGGTAGATTTCTTCAGCGAAGAACGGGGAGTTTTTACAACAGGAACCTTGCACCCCACTCTTCCAGATTTTGACTTCCTCAATGGCTTGCTAAGGGTTCCAGTAGGAGAAGTCACCTCCAGCTCCCCTGGAGAGCACAAGGAACGCTCTAGATCTTTTTCGGCCCCATCTACTCTCAATGCAGATATATTTAGTAAGTCTCCACTCCCTTCAGTAGCCTTCAAGCACTCAGCAGAACAAATTTCTACTCTGTTTTCCTTAGTACTTCTCATTTCTGAACCTCTAAATGAACTTGCTGCGGATTTAATGTTGTTTAACTCATCACACATGTCATCCTCTTCACATGTAACAACAGGCTCTGGATATTCATCATCTGAATCATCCTGAACAATTACCTCAGCATTCTGAGGATCACCACCTATGTAACCCCGACACTGAGCTGAACCACACACACATTTTTTTGCAGCAGCACCAAAAACACGTACGTAATTATAATCAAATGTCAACTCTTCACCCTGATAACAAAACCCCCAAAACATAAGCACTTCTATTTGTAAACTAAAAATAAATAAATAAATGGAATTAAAAAATCTAAGAAGGTTGGCTCTGCTTCACTAACATATAAAATTGAAAATCAATCAGCCATAAAACGAAGGCAATAGGACTTCATTACACAAATTTAATAACGAGGATCCAGAGAGTGTACCTTCTTGATGTCCCTTATTGCAAAAAGCCCAATGCACACTTCTCCATTCGCCATCCACTGTTTCAGCACATGAAAAAAAAAAAAAAAAAAAAAAAAAAAAAAAAAAAAAAAAAAAAAACTGAATGACAATAGCCACACTATCATTGCAAGCAAATATATAGGTGAATAAAATTTATGTACCACCCATATAAAGTTCAATTGATACATGTAAGCAACTATCTAACTGCAGAAAGCAGCAGACATTTTCTGGAGAACAAAAACATTTTGCTCCTCCCATTGATTTTTCTTTTCGTTTTTCACTTTCTTTCCCCCCTTTTTGGCTGAAATAGGGAGTTTATGCGACAAATTCCAAACAAAAAGGAACTGAATACACACTATATTCATTGTTAGTGAAACTGCTCAACCAAGATTAACCATCTGAAAATTTTCTAGAGTTCCGCATTATGGTATCTAAGAACATTCCTCTAAAAGGCGTGCTGCATGTAAATCCCTTGATAGAGAGCTTAATATAACATTAACTACAGACATGCAACATGTTAGGATCAACCATTCAACCTTATGGGATATTCTTTATATAAAATGTGGAGGTATAAGCAGGTTTTAGACAAATGATTAACTAATGCTTTCTATTCCTCCCCATTAGAGGATATCTTGCCTCTCTCTTCATGTCTCATTAACGAAACTCCTCTTCTTTGCACGAGTAACAGTAAACATAAAGAATAACTTTTGTCCTATATCAAAATAATAGATTTAACACAAAAAATAATAGAACTAGTTGATGAGGTTGAGAAAGTTTGAACAATGTATATTGTGCAACTAGAGCATTCACCTTTTCTGTACGGCAGTTAGGATTGCAGCTGTGGTTTATGAAGCGTCCCAAATTCCCCTTAGCACATGCATCAATTACCTGAAATATGAGGCACCAAAAATGTTAGGCAAAATTTCAAAATACAAGTAGAAAAACAATAGAATCTGTTATTAATATAAAGAATCTGGAGACTTGCTATTCTATGTGCACCTGGCTCTCTACATAAGTACCATTCACTTAAGTCACTTACAGGTTATATAATTGAATTTGGTAATTGAAGAAGAAAATTTAAAACACAATACCTCACTACCATTAAGTGTCATAAAGTAGAAATGTTTATGGCCCTTCAAAGCATACTCTTTTTGCCGCCCCTCATAAGCACGCATATCAAGCACCTGTAAACCCATGAAGTATAGCACATCAGTGAGATCAATTCAAAGCAAGCAGTTAAAGAGGTTAATGAATATATCTGATTAAAAGCCATCCACATTGATTTGCAAACAGCAAAATCTTCCTAGTAGTTCAACTGTTCTCCTTCCATATGAATTATGATATGAAAGATATTTCCTGGAGTAGACAAATTTTTTTATAGCTTCAATGTAGGCCAGATTTGGACTCAACTTTTTATTGGACAGAAAATTCAGACCAAATTAACTATACAATGCAACATATGCAGAATATTTGAGACTTTTTTCACTTTGGTTTCCTTTTATTTATTTAATAATTGTTTTTTTTGTAAGAAACATTTGGTTTTAAAAAGTTCATATAAAATACCCAATGAAGTTCAATAGTAGCTGTTTAGTTCTACACTTCTACCAAAACATTATCCAGAATTGTAAGGAAAGTAGAGTGACCTCTCCAACATATTCAATGATAAAGCACCCTTTTGACACATCTTCAAGCAATTGCAGGCCATATCCCTTCTTACCACATTTAAACCACTTCAGTTTAGCATAATTCCGTCTCTGAAACTGCAACCGGAAGAAACAAAGATATTATCACTACCGGGAAAGTGATAGAATCACCTAAGATAGTACTCAACTCATTTTCTTTGAAATTTCATGAACCTGTTGATTTGAACATTGCTCGCCACATGGGCATGTGCCCTGAACACATTCAATGTTAAGCATCCGGTTCAAGCATTCATTTCCACAACCTATTCTACCATCTGAAGGTTTGCAATGGCAAATCATGATCTAGGAAGAAAGAAAGACATGAAGTCAAGAATCATTGGAGAATAAGTAGACAAACATGTACTGCTACTTAAAGCAAAAGACCTTCAATTAGCTTCGGTATTTTTGTCAGGAAAAGACAAAAATAACAATGCCAGAAACTGGAATTTAAATGTCAGGCCAAATTTGAAGAACATAAATTCCATGTTATGGGGATCACTAGTAATTTTTACATTCCAAATGTAAATCTCAATGATCAGAATGCCACAATGTTTGCTTTTCAGATTTGGAGTGCTACTTTTGACAAATACATTACTAGAAGTCTAGAACACTGAAAACCAGAGAGAAGAGGAAAAAGTAGACTGAAAGAAATTGATATTTTTTTGGTCTGTAAACTATAAGAACTGTTACATTCACTGTTCTTCCTATTGTTATGGCTGTGTTACTCATAAATCATGATAATTGACAAGAACCTTTTTAGAAGGCTATGAGCACCTCCATCATTCATCTGATAACTACTTTGAGGAGAACTTTAAGCACACTTTATGATTTTGATTCTTTGTATAAATAATATTAACCAGACCCTGATCTCAGTCAAAATTCTTATTGTGGCTAATACAGCATTGTTTTAAATCTTTCAAGTCATTTTTTAATCTCACTAGTGGTCAGGTTTGCCATAGAAATAGCTTTTCAATAAATACATAGAAATGAAGACCCCTAACATAAGAACTTTAGTCAAACAATTTAACAATCTACTCTAATGCAATTGAAATGATGTTTCATCTGGATCCTCTGAGCTTTTTTATCCTAATAAAACACACCTATATTTGCATTTTACCAATTAAAGTGTGCCTCAGCTGTTCATCCTTGCTCCTCCATGCAAAATCTCTTTTTTTTCCCACATGGCCAGAATAGGGTAATTAGGTAATAAACACTCAAGAGGTATTAGACATTTTTTTTTCAGTTTCCAGATGAACTTTTTAATGGCTGAATTTAAAACAAGAAGCCACAGAGATCTGGGGCTATGCCTCAGAAAATTGCAGTAGAGCAATAATGAAAACAAAAAGGACATAGTAACTCTAATCTAGACAAGGAATTAAGTCAATTAACATAGAGTTGTGAAGAAGCAAACACCAAAAGCAACACAGAACAATGTACACTTGATTAACAATTAACCTCATCAATAGTCTGAGACTTGCGGCTGCGATGCAGAAACAAGTTTGACTTGATCAGTGTCCAAGTTGAGCTCTGAGCAACTGTAACCCATATAATATATGTAAGAAAGGTAAGTTCCCCAATAAGCTATGTTTTCCATTCAAAACTATAATAATCAAATACCTGCAGACTTCTTTCCTGAGTTGTCACAATTGTGACGTGCATCATAAGCATCTTCCTCCTCAGACACATCAGATATTTCGAGCTCTACATTAATCGCTGCATTTGATTTCTCTTGAGGAATTGAGCAATCACCAAAGTCTTTATCCATGTTATCCTTGCAACTCCTTTAACATTGATAAGATAGAAACAAAAAATAAGTGAATTGCATGCAGACCTCATGCAGTATGTACATATATATATCAGCAGAACCAAAAAAAAAAAAGGCCTCACATACCCACAATGAGCACAAAGTCAAGGTGACCTGTAATATCAATCAGTAAATTCAAAATGATTGATCCCCTCCACCCCCCACCCCCCTAGGGAAAAAGAAAAAAGAAAAAGGACTAACTCATCTCCAAATGTGCTGTACTTTTAAATTTCACCACTGAACCAATTCATTTTTCTCCACAACAATAGATATATCAGCATCACGCCAGTGTTGATTAAGTACATAATGTAGTTACTTAATTGCAATGCAACATGAAGAAGGATCACTTCTAGTTGTATGCCCTAGGTTAGGACACCAAAAAAGCACTCAAGCATTCAAGCTTGAAAAAATATTGCTCTAATGGGGGTTTTCAATATTTCATCCGTGTCAACATGGCTACAGGCATAGGAAAAGGGAAACTACAATATTCCCTCTATACTTGAGATCTCATCTAAAGTTTTTTAGGTCAATAACCAGAAACAAAAAAGAAAATTAGTAAAAATTGCCTCACACCAAAGACTACACTAAACATAAGGAATTTTTTTTTTTTTTTAAAGCCCAAATGCCCAATGACAACCATGGCCTGAGACTGCACACAGTCTCATAAACATTATGCTGATTATAGGTCCATAGCAGGTGCCACATTAATTTAATTAGCATTTTTAACCAATCTGAAAAATCATATTATACGATAAATAGACACATTTGCCTTAAATTTACAATCATATTTCTGGCTGCAGAGTGAATAAGCATTGTAAACATATGTGAGTTTATTTGTTTATGCATCGAAAAAATATATTTGATGAAGGGGAAAACCGGAGCCTTATTAGACTATTAGTTCAATGAAATTCACAGAAAAAATGGCATTAACATTCATGATAAGTAATACAACCATGCTGAGTACAAAGTTATAATATAGCGATGGCATGAGCCTCATCACATACCATCTGCAGTTTGTTTCTTCAATTTTATCAGCAAGAGAAACTGATATACGTCTCCACTTGTGACAATCATCACATTGAACCCAAGCATTCCTTGGCAGCACATAATTTGTCCCTGTGTCGCTTTGGTTTGAAACACATACACCCATATTTCCATTTCTAGAGCCATTTTCTTTAAGGTGAGGTGGTGTTTGGTTTTCTACAACATCAATTCGCAGAAAATTACATATTTATAAAACATCATAAATAAAATGTATAACATTAAAGTTATATAATGGGAAGGCAAGTTGAGCAAGTGGTTCAGAGGAGTGAATGAATTGATCTAAAACTTGTCATACCTGTATTTTGATCGTTTTTTACTTCACTTAGACCTAGAGCCAGAGTCTTCTCCTTCTCTTCATGCTTCCCAACTATCATTTCTTTGTTTCCCTTCCGTTTAGAAGCACATTCTCTCCTTGTTGATGAATTGCAGATTCCAGGCTGGCTCTTACCAACTCCCTGATATCTTCTACTTTTTGGAAGTTTGAGCTTGTCAGGAGAAGAAATTGGTTTCTCTGTCATTTGTGACTCCGGTGACTCAGTATAAAGGTGACAACAAACATCAACCTTCTCTCCAAGTTCAAATTCTGAAATTGCAAAGGAGATTCCAAAGTCATCCAATCTTGATGAAGGTAACAGTCCCTCAGAATCCAACTCAGTACTAAACACATTACCATATGTATTTCCAATAGTGGTTAAAGCAGAAGAATCACCAAAATAAGAGCTATTAGGAACGAATTCAGTATTCATAATTTTTAGTCCAGGAAACATACCCTTTACACTGATATCTGACATCTTGTCTAGCCTATCTTTTTTATTTGGCCGATCTTTTTTCTTTGGCCGATCTTTTTTCTTTCCTTTTTTGAGGCCCTTTTCTTGTGCATCCAAACTCGAAACATCTCTAGAAGAAAAACAATCTTGGTTGGTAATTAAATCTGGCAAGTATTCTACACCTTTTAGACTAATTGAAGCATCAGGAGTGATGTTGATCACTTCTGAGTCAGGTGAAGTTCCAGGATCTAAGCACCTGCTATCAACTGGTGTTCCCAATTTCTCAAGATCCATTTGGGTAGGTAACTCAGGATGACACTCCAAAGATTCTTTAGCCAGGTTTTCAACAAGAGAGCTTCCAGCTGGGCATGTGTTTGAAGCAGAACCATCAGAAAGCATCAGAGAATTGCCCAACCTTCCATTGAGCCCATCAAGCTCCATAGTTCTAGTAAACTCTTCACTGATGTCATCAGCAGATTTGGATGGTTCTTTCTCAGTTGAAGAATATATTTCATTTCCATTTTCAATAAGAGGAAGAACATCCATCAGGCAACGATTACCAAATTTAACTTTCAAGGAAATGTGATTCTTTCCCATTGGCTTCTGTGAATGTTGACCTGTCTGATTATTTTCCTGCTTTTCACTTTTTTGACCCCCAGTGGCTCTTCTTGATTATCTGGGCTCCTGTTGAATTATCTCAACCCTATCACTCTGTTCAGAACCATTTAAAGAATTCCCCAACTCTGTATCCCCAGCAGTATCAAAATCATCAACGAATGTTCCCTTCAAATTTCCTAGCAGCTATCTGTAAATTGCAGGAAGTATTTAGAAAATAGAAACCTTCAACGCAATGAGAACCAGAGAATTAACACGCTGCCCTAGAAAAACAATATTGAAACGTATATAGCAGCTACGCATGCAACTAACTGACTAAGTGAACAAGAAAGAGTCCAACTCCAAAGGCTAGATTTTTATTGAAATACAGAAAAATCCAAAAACCCAGTCAGAGAAGGTAAAAGTCCAAGTAAACACCATTTGCTTATTCTACGCACCATAAAAACCCTAAACTCACTGCTCGAAAACCAATGCCGATACATACACAGACACGGAAATTGAGATTACATAAATACATACAAGCGCGCAATCACAGGGATAAAACAGAATGAAAATATTGAGAGGCAGAGATCATACCGGGTGAAACTTGAAAGTGAGAGAAGGCAAACGAAAGCATCAGCGGGGAATTATCTTAATTTTCATGAATTTGGGAATTTTCGAAATTTGGTGGGGATATGGAGATGTATTAATGGACTATTGGACTATGGAGGGAGAAGGAATCGCTTGGCGGTGTCAACGAACGGTTTTTAGAGAGGAGCCAAAGAGAAAGAAACAAAGAGGGCTCCACCGGAAATTGTATTAGTGTCTTTGATTCATAGGTTTATACACTAAACGTTTGGTTTGCAGAATAAATTTTGACATAATGGAAATGTTATTTCATGGGGTAATAGGAATGTTATTTCATAAAAAATGGAATAGGCAATGAATATAATAAGAATTGTATTCTATTGTTTAATTCGCGAAAGGAATAGACTTTAAGAATTATATTACCGTGTTTGGTTGGCTTAAGGAATATAAATAAGATATGTTTTAAAAGACATAAATACTCTTATAAAAATATGTGGTGGTGATGGCGACGGTTGTAGTGGGGTGGTGGTGTTGGCGATGGCGGTGGTGATGAAATATAAAATAAATTTAATTATGGGTAAAATAAAAAATAGAGTAAAAGACATTTTTGGTCCTAGACTTATAGTGGCTTGGACAATTTTAGTCCTTAATAAAAAAATTTGCCATTTTTTGGACAGACTTATTGTGACGAGGACAATTTTGGTCCTCCGTCTATTATATGGTTAGTTGACCGTTTAAATGAGGGGTATTTGTGTCAATTCAGCTTATTTTCCAGTCTTAGACTAAAATTGTCCAAGCCACTATAAGTCTAGGACCAAAAATGTCTTTTACTCCTTTATTATAATAACTATAATCATATAATTACTGATTATATTTTAAGTGAAATATGAATATATTCATTTCATTTTTCACTCATAGAAAGAGTTAATATTCATTTCCATTTCTTTTTCCCTCATAATTTTTTCTAATATTTCACGTGGTGGTTACTAATTTTTTCGTAGGGAAAGCGGTGTTATATTTTCAATAAATTTTTAATATTAAATCTTTTTTTTTTTCCATTTGGCCTAATTCCCGTGTGTATTAGTAACAGAATATTAATAATAGATTTTCGTGTCTAAATTTTATTTTTTTCCTTTCATATTCATTTCCTTTTTTTTTTCTTCATAAATAATTAATATAATTATAATAATATAATTACTGATTATATTTTAAGTGAAATATGGATATATTCATTTCCTTTTTTCATTCATAGAAAGAGTTAATATTTGTTTCTATTTCTTTTTTCTTCATAATTTTTTCATAATATTTCATTTGGTGGTTACTAATTTTTTCGTAGGGAAAACTGTGTTATATTTCCAATAAACTTTTAATATTAAATCCTTTTTTCATTTGGCATGATTCCCATGCCTATTGGTACGTTTGTAATATTCATTTTCAATCATAAAAACAATCTGGTACAATGTTTAATAATTATTTTCTTTTTCCTTTACCCTAAATTTCTGTCTAGCAAATTAGTTATTTACTTATTAAGAACATTTTTTTAATTCGAGTCCATTTTTAATATTAAATTCGTTTTTCTTTTGGTCTGATTTCTATGTCAATTAGTAACAAAATATTAATAACAAATTTCATTATTACAATTAATTCTTTAGTTTTTTGTTTTTTGAATTAGAATAATGATAATTGTAATTATATTAATTAATTAATTGTATGGATATTTTTTTGCAATGAGATACAGATCCACTAATATGCAATGTACCCAGATGTGTTCTTCTGCCTCAGAGCCTAATGAATCATACACATGTTGCATCTTAAATGCACATAGATATAGACATTCAATTTTTTTTTTTTTTTTTTTGAGAATGCTAATCGATTCACTGATAGTTGAAGGTAGATAACAATACTTATAATATGAAATTAAACCTTTTGGAAGAATAATATGAAATTAAACTCAAATCCAAGTTACTTTACATCTATTAACCCCTAATTGAGATTATATAAAAAGGAAACATAGATTTAAATGATTTCATCTAAGAGCTTGTAAATATGGTGACTGCTTTAGTGTTTTTAGAGAGACAACGTGCTTTACCAATTCGCCAGGAAGAACTAATCTCATGCCGGTCTGAATCTCGCGGGAAGTGATTATCGGCTTCTTGTTGTAGTGAGCCAAGCGAGTCACCTCTTGGGCGAGCTTCAAGAAGATATCGTTGATGAAGCTATTCATGATGTCCAAACTGCAAAACATATTGAAGTACGTGAGAATATAGTTAGAAAAATGTAGAAAATTCATACAAAAAGAAAGCAGAAAGATGAGTTTGAGATTCTTTGATTGAAGAAGCTCTTGTATTTATAGGTAGAAAATACTAATTCAAAAGAAAAGTATAATAATTTATTTATTTAAGGGAAAGTATAATAATTTATTTATTTAAGTTAATAACATTATTATTATTATTATTATTATTATTATTATTATTATTATTATTATTTATTTATTTATTTATTTATTTATTTATTTATTTAATTTCCATTTGACATTTACTTACCAAATAAGTTTTACTACAAAAGTTTTGGAGGGAAAATTTGTTAGGAGGATTTTACTTTTATATATATATAGATATAGATTTTAGAGTAAAAGACATTTTTGGTCCTAGACTTATAGTGGCTTGGACAATTTTAGTCTAAGACTGGAAAATAAGCTGAATTGACACAAATACCCCTCATTTAAACGGTCAACTAACCATATAATAGACGGAGGACCAAAATTGTCCTCGTCACAATAAGTCTGTCCAAAAAATGGCAAATTTTTTTATTAAGGACTAAAATTGTCCAAGCCACTATAAGTCTAGGACCAAAAATGTCTTTTACTCTAAAAAATATATAAATGTGCGCGTGTGGGCAATGGCGGACCTACAATGGGGGTAGTGGGGGCAGCTGCCCCCACTGACCCCTCCCTAATTTAAGCCTTTTATGCATTATAAATATAAGATTTACTAAAAGTTTTACTAGTCTAGTTGGTAAAAACCTAAGGTTGAATGTGGTAGGTCATGGGTTCAATTCCCATTAGTAGTGTATTTTAGTATTAATAGTTTGTTTGTTTTTGTTTTGTTTTTTTTTTTTTTAGATTTTATTTTAACCACTCCAATCCTATAGTATTTTTAGTTTCTTTTCTTTATTTTAACCCTTCCAATCCTTCAATAAATTAAATATTTTTAAGTCTACATTTTTGTGAATCATTTAGTTCATGTAGTCTGCAAGTTTATATTATACTTCATTGTATTCGAATTAATTTAGAAAAATTAAAAATTGATATAACTAAAAGAAAATTAAAATTAAAGTATTTAGCAATATACTATCTTTTCTATTCAAACTATTTTATCTAATCAATTATCAATTATGTTTTATATATTTTATAGCATTTCGAAGTGTTTTAAAATTTAACCCTACCCAAGTATAGTTTTGGCTACGCCCTTAATTAACTATCTTGTCGTCTATCATAAATATTATTGTATTATAATTTATAATGTATTTGAACCATATTATAGATGTTTGATATTTTTTTCATTGACAATTCTAAAGTCGTACAGCGAATTCTTCAGACAAAATTGTAGAAGATGCAACTTTTTCTTAGAAGTGAGATCTAGAGTTAAATATGCACCCACTCACATTATTTCCTGGGTCCGCCACTGCGTGTGGGTATATATATATATATATATATATATATATATATATATATATATATATATATATATATATATATATATATATATATATGTATATATAACCATGTATGTAAGGATATTTTTGGTATCTGTAATATAAAAGTTATTCCCATAAACATGGGAATAGCTAATACCAAGACGTCCCCTAAGAATGGTTATTCTTCTTGCAAAGGGAATAGGTCATTCCTGATAATGGTATTCCCATGACAAAGTGACGAACCAAACAATGAAATAGGTCTATTTCAATGAATGTCATCTCATTCTTGACATATTCCATGAACCAAACATGTCATAAAAATAATACGGAGTAATTAAAATTATAATAATTATTTGATTGACAATTTTTAAAAATATAATAATATTATTTGATTACTTCTTTAATTAAAAACATCATTTCTTAATTTGAAAGGGGTATTATTTTATTTTATATTGATAATTTGATTTTTTAAGTTTAGACTAGGACTTAAAAAAAAAAAAAAAAAAAAAGAAAAAAAGTTTAGACTAGGTGCTTTTAAATCTTTGTTTTGATTTTTTTTTTTTATATTGTTGTTTTAGATGTCATCATATCACTATCAATTGTTTTATTTTTTTGTTCTTATAATTTTTATTTACATTATAGGGTCATACACAACTAAACATCAACAATTTATTGTGTGAACCATGAATGCAATATACATTTTTAATATACTAAAAATATATTATTTGTGTATTGGATATACATTATTTGATAATAGGGAAAATGGCACTTTTACCCCCTGAGTTATATACTTATAGCACTTTTCCCCCCTAAATTATTTAAGTGGCTCTTTTCCCCCCTAAAATGTTAAATGGACATATTTACCCTTAAAATAAATATTTAAAATAAATATTTCATTTATTTTTCTTCTCCAACAAATTATTACTATAATTTGGTTCAAACCAAACAGATACTATAGAAACCAAACCAAAATATTCCAATTACAATTTAGAATCAAAACGCGATATTTAGAGTTTATTAAAATCGCAAATCGGAATGGCCGGTTCATGTTCCGAACTGAAAAAATAAAATACATTTATTGTTAAATTTAGACTATTTTAAAATAAAAAATAAAATAAAATTTTAAAATAAAGACGGTTCAAAATCGCGAACGGATCCGGAACCGCCGGTTCACGGTTCATGATCCAGTTTTTTTGGTTCATAAATTTAATAAATTGAAATCTAAATACTGGATTCTAAATCTAAATCATAACCGAAAACTTTTAATTCGATTGCTATAGTGTCCGGTTCACTTCGAACCGAACTGTGGTCATTGCTACATATACACAATAATTTGTTGGAGAAGTAAAATAAATAAAATGTTTACTTTAAGGGTAGAAATGTCAATTTAATATATCAGGGGAAAAACCACCACTTTTAAAATAATTGAGGGGGCTAATGTGCTTACATAAATAATTGAGGGGGAAAAAGTGCTATAAGTATATAACTTAGGGGGGAAAAGTGCCATTT